AGAGGGGTTGAAACCACCAACCAGTATAATTCATATAATATTATATATATATATATTCCTCACACCCATTCATTAGACCATATTGCAGTTTATCCTATTGTTGGTTATATCCCAACTAGACCACAATTACTGTGGAAAATCATGGTTTCAAACCCCCAAACTCCCATGACCCCCAGTATACACCCATTAAGTTTATATAATATATAGATATATAATATTATAATATATATCACGAAAGCCAGCCGAAGGCCTGGGCTTGAGTATAGGTATAAGCGAAGCGAAGCGAAGCTAATCTAGGGGGTGTGGGGGGGGGGGAGGCCCGAAATCGGTCCGTTTTTGAAAGGTGAGGCCGGAGCCTGGGGGGGGGAGAGCTCAAAAACCGACCTGCCGTTTGCCTGGTTTTTTGGGCCCGAACGAGATGCTCCATTTTGGACACTTGTTGGTGGTTTTCGACGGTTTTCATCGGGTTTCAAACGCCAAAACACTGTAATTTACGGATATTTACGGTGTTTTTTTGCGTTTGGCCTGGCAAAAGTACGTCTTGCAACATGCTGAAAACTGCGTAAATACCACTGTTTTTGCTAGGTTCTGGCCATAAAACACTGTAAATACCGTGGTTTTTGGTTCCAGGAGCAAAAAACACCGCAAATACCGTGGTTTTGGGCCTGCGAGGCGTCAAAAAAACACGGTTTTTACGGAGTTTTTTGCTCCGAGAATGTTCAAAAAACACGAAAACACCACCTATTTGACCATTTTTCGGCTTTAGCTTGTTGGTGGTTCTTGACGGTTTTCATCGGGTTTCAAATGCCGAAACACTGTAATTTACGGTGTTTTTGTGCGTTTGGCCTGGCAAAAGTACGTCTTGCAACATGCTGAAAACTGCGTAAATACCACTGTTTTTGCTAGGTGCTGGGTTTTTGGTTCCAGGAGCAAAAAAACACCGCAACTACCGTGGTTTTGGGCTTGCGAGGCGTCAAACAACACGTTTTTTTTTTTTAAACGGAGTTTTTTGCTCCGAGACTGTTCAAAAAATACGAAAACACCAACTATTTGACCATTTTTCGGCTTTACAAATGAAGGTAAAAAAAAACATGCCGCAACGTCTCTGTGTGAAGATGTTTCTATGTAAAAGCGTCTCTGTGTAAAAGCGTTTCTCTGTAGATATATCTGTGTGTACAAGGGTCTGTGTGTCAAAGCTTCTGTGTGTAAAAGGGTCTCTGTGTAAAAGCTTCTGTGTGTAAAAGCCTCTGTGTGTCAAAGCGTATGTATGTAAAAGTGTTTGTGTGTAAAAGCGTCTGTGTGTAAAAGGGTCTGTTTGCAACATTCTGTGTATGCGTAAAAGGGTCCGTGTGTAAAAAGGTTCGTGTTTAAAAGTGTCTGTGTGTAAAAAGGTCTGCGTGTAAAAGCATTTCTGTGTCAAGATGTTTGTGTGTCCAACAGTCTGTGTGCTACTACGACTCTGTGTAAAAGCCTTTCCGTGTAAAGATGTTTGTGTGTAAAAAGGTCTGTATGTAAAAGCCTCTGTGTGTGAAAGCGTATGTGTGTAAAAGTGTTTGTGTGTAAAAGCGTCTGTGTGTAAAAGGGTCTGTGTGCAACATTCTGTGTATGCGTAAAAGGGTCGGTGTGTAGAAAGGTTTCTGTTTAAACGTGTCTGTGTGTAAAAAGGTCTCTGTGTAAAAGCATTTCTGTGTCAAGATGTTTGTGTGTCAAAAGCGTCTGTGTGTAAAGCTGTCCCTGCGTACACGGGTCTGTGTGTAAAAGCGTCTGTGTGTACAAGCGTGTCTGTGTGAAGCTGTTTGTCTGTAAAAGCGTCTCTGTGTCAACGTGTTTCTGTGTAAAGCTATTGTAAAGGGGTCTGTGTGTAAAAGCATCTGTGTGTCGAAGTAAAAAAGTGTCTGTGTGTAAAAGCGTTTGTGTGTAAAAACGTTTGTGTGTAGTCTGCAAGGGTCTGTGTGTAAAAGGGTCTATGTGTTTTTAGCTTCACAATGCTGGTTCATAGCTTCTGTTTGCTTGCTGTTCGTTCTAAAATTGTATATGTAGCCGTTTCCCGTTCTTCCCAAAAGCGAAATGCAATAGCCGGCCGAATGGCCGCCAAATGGCAGAAAATTGCTTCCAACAGGTTTCTGCTCTGGATCTGGCTCCAAAAGGCTCCTGGCCAGGATTTGGCCTAAAACGGCCGAGCTGGAGCTGATCTGGACGAAAGTATCGAGGAATGCTAACAACTAGCAACCGCCTTTACTTCGAGATACTTCAGCGCAGAGACAAAAAAAACCATGAGCATTGCTTTGGGGGCTGGCTTTCGTCCCCCCCCTTCTCAGGTATATATTATATTATATATATATTATATACATATTGTGTATATATATATATTATATTATATTATATATACATGTATCCGCTATTCTTGACATTTCTTGACGCTTACAACCTATAGTTCAAAACTTCCGGCTTTAGCAGGGCTTGGGTTCTACGTCCCCCAAAATGGGGGTGATCTCTTCAGATCATTGTCCGAACGGGTAAAACCCCACGGGTTTTCCCACCATTTTTTGGGTATGTAAAAACCCTGGGGCACGAAATCCCAGAGAATCCTAATATATAGAGTCCTGGATGCATATGAAATCCCATGAAATCCCATGAAATCACCATGAAATCACCATGAAATCACCATGAAATCACCATGAAACCCTATAAAGTCCCATGAAATCACTATCCGTGATGGTGAAATCCCATGTTTATATCATAAAAATCCCTATGAAATCCCATTAAATCATATTAGATCATAACTATATCATCATTTTTAGGCAAGGCCCGAAATTTTCCCATGAACCTGGGATCATCCCCAGGTTCAGGTTCTCTTGCCGTGACGCGGCAAGCGTCGCATCAAGCGCAAGGTGCACGTCCCCGCCAGGGGCCCCCAGGGATACAGTTCAAGGTTGGGTTTTGACTCACTAATGATGAAAGAAATACTACGGTAACGACATTTAAATATGTGGAGGGCGGGCCAGACCACAAGACCCCGGAGGTCGCATGAAATGTAGCGTACCTTCAATGGGTGGATTTTAGGCTGGTTTTTGGCAGGGTTTTGACTCATCCAATATACTGGGGACTATGAACGGGAAATCCCGTTACCGTTATAACGGAATGACAGGGATTTCGAATACTGCTCATATTAGACAATAGGGATATTGGGAAAATCTGGGAAGAGTCAGAATTTCCCTCCAGTAAACTAACTTATGGAAATCACCATTTTTCAAAGGTAAATCAACTATTTCTATGGACCATTCTCAATAGCTATGTAACAAATGACCAGAGGGCATACTGATTTTTAGCATCGAAGAATATTGAAGATGTGGATGTCACTTGGAAAGTGATGTCGGCTTGGGAAGTCTCTGCTTGCAACACTGATCTCAGCTCTCTGCAGACGACGGATGGACTGCTTGAATCAAACATGGGAAATCACCCATCTTCAAGAGCGAAATCCCCTCTGGTAAACAAACATAGCTATTGAAAATTGCCATTTATAGTTGATTTACCCATTGAAAATGGTGATTTTCCATGGTTATGTTAGTTTACCAGAGGGTACATGATTCTACATGACTCTACGCGCCCAAGAAATCACAAAGACATGACTCAGTTAAAAAGGGGGATCTGGACCAGGACCAAGATTGACCAAGTCCAGAAACCTGGAACATTTTTTTCAGGAATGTGCAGGACAATCACTTTTTTTGGTGATGAAACAGTGATCCCAGATTTGTTGGACGAATGTCATCTTGATTATTGCTGAAATCAAAATCCGAATTTGTTGCTTCTGCCCTCATTTTTCTCGCGACCAAACATACCCATTTTCTGTCCGTCAACTCCCCATCTCTGGTAATTAGACATCATTAAACCAACAATTTTGTTTGGTTTAGTCCTCACAAATCAGTTGGATCCAATTCGTTGTTGGCTCGATTCCCTTTTTTTTTAAGCTTATAAGATCCCCATTTTTGCTGGTCAAATTCCAATTTTGTCGGTTAACTTCCAATTTTTATTGACAGAACACAACCCTTCTTCTTGGTGCTTCACATTTTATGTGCTTGACATCCGCATTTTTTGTTGCTTACAGTAAATCATCATTGTTGGTATATTGTTGGTTAGTTAAATCACCCTGTTTGATGGTTAAATCACCATTTTTGATGGTCAAATCCTACTTTTTGTTGGTGAAATCACCATTTGTTGCCGCTGAAATCCACATCTTCGTTGCTTCATCGCGGCTCAGGTCCAGACCCCATTGTGACCCCATCTCTCTCGCAGGACTGGTAGTGGAAACGAATTTGGTTTCAACAGGTCAAACTTCGCGGGTTTACAATAGGCCAATCGTGTTCGTGTTCTAATATGTTCGAATCATAGACTAGTTGGATTAGTTGGAACTTAGACATCTATTTGTACTTAGGTGGATGTCTTTTACTGTTAGTAACTGGATTCGCCTGGAGTTTTGGTTTACCAATTCCATCCCCCTCATATAACATACACCCATTGTATGGCCCAAATATGTGTAGATCATCTACTAAAACACGGTTTCTGGATGTTTCTGGGGTGTGTTTTAATAATATTCGGAGGAATTGGATCCGTTCAACTATGATTCCTTATCATAGCTATTGTAGGAATAATAGTGTTGTTTATAATTGCCAGAACTGGGGGGGATTGGCGGGAGTTGGGTTGCAAACAGGTCTGTTCTTGTGGCGAAATGCTTTTGAGACGGGAGGCAACTCGTAGCTGTGAAGATCTATGGCGACACTTTTGGAATCTTTTGGACCTATTCGAATTGCAGAGGGAACTAGGAGGTACCTACCATATTAATAAGCCCTATATATATATATATATATATATATATGGGCCTCTTTTTCAGGCCTATAATTTTTTCAGGATCCTGAAATTCCCATTGAAGTTATAAGTTGGGTTCGTGTGTCGCTGGGGATGGGCGAAAAGTTAGAGGATCATCCCACACCCAACTCACCCAACAGGCCGAGACGGTGGAAAGGAAGAAATCCCTGCGAGCGTAGCTTGGTCCAGCCGAGGATCTCCCAAGTTATGGCTGTTGGCTACATGGGGATGATGAAAAGGCATAAAATCATATAAAATCTCTTGAACTCGGGGTTTATCCAATATTTCCACCATTTTCAGTACCAAACTTTAGTTTTCAAAGGTTTCAATATGTTTCAGTGGGGATTTGAAGAATGGAGAGTGGAGACAGTTTTTAGTGCATTTCTTCGACATGTTTTTTTCGAGCTGCTTTCCCAAGTTCATCCGGTGTGTTGCTGAGGTTGAAGCATGCGAAACTTGTCCATGAAGGTTTGCAGGCTGACTTGTGAAAGGGGAGGGCTCACCGCTCACGCGTTCGGAATGCAAGTTGTTCTTAAATGGTCGATAACAAGATCCTTTGAACATCTTTGAATAAGTTAGAAGTTGAGCTATAACCCCATAAAACATCATAAAACTATGGTGTTTATAGTTTATATATATATATACACATTATATTCATATATATATATATATGCATCATCAATCCTCATTCGCCCATAAAAAGGCTTGGACTTTCAGGATGTCCATCCCATCGTGGAGCCAGGAGGACCTCGCAGCCTTGCGCCGCGACATCGAGGAGCTCCGGAAAGCCAAGGGCTTGCCATCCGCTGCCACCGCGCAGCAGGCGTGGGAAAAGGTCGGGGATGGAGGGGTTTTTCAGGCATTTTTTGGAAAATATGGGGGATTTCCACCATGAAAACTGGGGGGATTTGACGATCAAATGGATTTCATGGGCGAGGTCGTGATTTCACGTTGACAAGGGGTGATTTCACCAACAATGGTGATTTAGCCATCACAAGTTCATTTCACTAACAATAATGGTGATTTAATCAGGGATACATTGGGATTTAGCCATCAAACATGTAACCGACAAAGATGGGAATATCATCATACATAATTAACATTTAAATATGAAACAGGACGATATATATTTGATTGATGATTTATGGTTAAATGTATAATTCAAACAGTAGAAATTTCGGAAATGATTGATTTTACTTGCAAGAAATTGGGCTTTAACCAGCAACACATGGGGATTCAAGCAGTGAGGGTTAGGATTTATTGCGGCTGATTTTTTTCAAACATTGCCCCAGTGGAATTACTTTTGTCTTACCAGGGAATAAACTGATTCACCAGTGGAATAAAAAATCGGGTGTAGCCCATTTTCGGTTATTTTCCGTCTTATGTAGTTGCGATTCTGGAGATGATTCTCCAAGTATATGTATTCAGGGTTCTCTGAAAATATGCTAACGCATTCCATGCAATGGTTGATCATCATCATTATTTTTCTATCTTGTGGCCAGAAATTGGTCGTATGCTCTAAACAAATATAGACAAAACCATATATATCCATATATATATATACATGGTTTTGTGTGAAAACAAGGCACGTTCCCCCACAAATCCCATGATTTCTCATCACTCATCATTTTCAAACGGCCATTTTATAGTTGTTTCATGTTGGTATATAAATATTAAACCATCCCCAAATTTACCATAAATGGCTTGGATTGAAGTCATCCCCAGTCATGCTAGGTGTATGGCAGCCAGGGTTTCCCACATTATTGCAGTTATCATCAGTTATCCATTTTTCATCTATGATTGTTGGTTATATACCCATTAAAAAAATCAGTATCTATCATCATTGACCATCATTGTTCATTGGGTTTCCCACATTTCTATAATTTTCATATCCTGTGAATGATTGATGAGAATCATCAATCGTAATCATTACTATAGTACTATATGATATGGGGATTTCCTAAAATGGAGGTACTCCCAAATCATCCATTTATAATCATTTATATATGGATTTAAATCCATGAAATAAACCATCCAGCTAGTGTGGTACCCCCATGACTATGGAACCCCCATATATTTGTTCATGATATCTACACCGTGGGGGTATACTACCGTATAGTCCCACGTTTTCAATCACGTCATACAAAGAGCCAGCTGTCGGAGTAGGAGAACAGAGCTTCAGTGGCTTCACCATCGGGTGCAACACAGGCAAGGATAGAGTGGAGATATCACCAGAATTCCACGGTAACTTTACTACGGGATTTCAGACGTTGTTTTATCATGCTAGATTTAGATGGGCATACGATCTGGTTATAGTGGCATATGATATAATTAGTGGTTATATGTGGTTATATGTGGTTATCATGTCATTTTTTATCATGTTAGACTGTTAGATGGGCATTTAGTGGGTATATCACCAACAAAAAGATATGATCTGCTTGGTGGTTAGCCTTTCTTTCGTCCGCCTAGGGGAGGATCCCGGCGGATGCGGCTCAAGTTCCCTCGGACAACGAGGTGAGATCATGAAGGGTCTCCCGCTCCGGAGCTGGATTTTCAAATGCTGGAGGAATTGTTTCCCTTTAAAGGGTACCCTCTGGTAAACTAACATAGCTATTGAAAATGGCCATAGAAATAGTGGATTGTCCCATAAAAAATCGTGAGTTTCCATGGCTATTTTGACATAACCAGAGGGTAATGGGAGATATCTAACCCGGAGAAAACTCACCCAAACAAATCATGATGGGACTAGCGGACTGGCTATCGATGGGGACCCCTGATGCCATTCGCCAGTGGATTTGGGGGTTGGCCAGGCATGTGGGGAGAATAGGTCATATCTCATAGAAACAAGTGGCAGCCTTTCAAAACACATTTGAGAATCTAATCTTGAAATTTATTGTAGTTTATTGTAGTTTATTTATGTATAGATGGAATAATAGATGGAATCCAATCCTTCTTTATTGTTTGTACAAATGATTTGCCTATACTATCTATAAATGATTAGACGACATATGTTTTTTTTCCCCCGCAGCCCCCCATATTCGCTTCCCCCGTGGTATAAACACATGGAAGTGTGTGGTTTCAATGGTGGTTTCAAAAGTGGTTGGGGGAAATCATCCCCATACCCAGCCTTTTGGGACGGGCGAAGCCTCATTCATGACTTTTGGGTATCGGTATGGGTCAAATGTTGCCCCAAAACTTTTTTGTTTCTATTCGTAACGTTTTGGAAACAAGCCCATATCATGTTCATCATCGCGACTTAATTGTGAATGATACTATACATATGGAGGTTTCCTAAGTCATGGGGGTACCCCCAGTTCTCATCCAATTCATGGATTTTCCATGAAATATTCACCATCCAATGCTCGCTTGGGGTACCATGACTATGGAAGCCCCGCTAAGCTCAAGGACGGGCTCCAGACATCGGACCGCTGGGGAGCTGATTTCTGGTTTGTTGCGTTGGTTGTCTGTTTGAACAGTCCACAATATTGGCCAACATGTACCCAATAATCTCGAATTAATATGAATTAATGATATCCATTAACTATAATAACTATAATTAGTGATCATAATATCGATGTATTTACATCCATGGGCTATAGTGATCTATCCACAATTTCTACATCTGTCTTTTCCCACCCCGAGCGTTTCTTCCGGGTGTCCCTCCACGTGATCTTTGCGCAGGGGCCTGTGAGGACCGCTTCAGGTTTGGGGGCCTTGAGAAAGGGTCAGCTTTCTGGAAGGTAAAAGGTCGGAAATCAGCGGATGTAAGTGGTTAATAAGCAATGGTATGACCCACTGATTGATAGATTCTGATAGATGTTGATAGGATATCATAGGATACCAATATCCCCACATGTTTTTATGGTTGAAATATCCACTTACTAAATGGGATGCACATCCAAGGTGGGGCCCGGCGTTTCACTGGGTGAAATGATGGCGGCCTGGGGGGATATCTCCCATGGTGAAGCGCCACCTAGTGATTTTAAGATGCTTCTTTCAGCATATATGTTCCTCCTTCCGAATTAGAGGACTAGAATTGTTGTATTAATGGATATTAATGGTTTGGCTGAAGGGTGGCTGAAGCAAGAACTCGTCGAGTTTGGAGCACCATGGCCATGGACCTTGAAAAAGGGTCGGCACCTCCAGTTTTGTAGTTGGGTGATCCTCTATCAATTAAAACACAAAGGCGGATGCATGCTTGCTTGGGAACATCTGTATTTTTTTAGGGAACACTGACCTATAAATAGATCTAAAGTCCTGGGTTTGGAGTATTTCAGAAGTATTTCAGATGGATTACAGAAACTAGATGTCGGATGCAGAAACTGCAGGCGTCATATTCAGAAACTATTTTGTCGGATTCAGAAACCATTCTGTCATATTTAGAAACTTGGGATTCATTTTCAGAAACTAATCCGTGGTTCAGAGTGGCGGGTTTTAGGGTTGGTCCAGGGCTGCTTTAGGGCTTCTTTAGGGTTGCTTGTAGGGTGACAGATATTCAGATGTCGAACGAGGTGGCTCTCTGAGCAGTACATTGCTTCCCAGTTTCCAAATACACGCTTGCTAATGTCAACCCCGGATTTTTGTAGACCATGGTTTATTAATTAGGGGGGTACTTTCCAAATAGTCATTTCATCTGATACTTAAATGGTATTTCACAAATTAAACAACCGTTTGGGGTTTATTAATAGTTTCCGAAAACCCAAACCGCCAGTTTCCGAATGCAACGGTGACCACCCGTGGCCCAGTGGTGGTGAATCAGGTCGCTTTGCCCAACTGGTTCGAAGCCATTCCGGGAAGATTTTGGAGGCAAAGAAATTGCAGCAGCAAAATACCGAGGAAGGCAGCAAAAATCTGGGATATTTTTTAGAAACTGCTTAGTTAGAACATGTTAGAACATGTTAGAACATGTTAGAACTATATAACAGCTATGATTATGAGTAACTGACAAAATTATTGAAATACTACTTTAGTCTTTGCTTTGCCTTGGCCTTTCCGAGGTTGCACAAAACCTTCACAAGCGATAGGGGACGACCCTATACCGATACCCCATTTGTGATACCTCCGGGAATACTGAAATCCTCACAACCGATAGGGCACGACCCTAATTTGTGCATCGCATTAAATTATAATTTTGTCCGCTACTCACATAGTGATTGTTTATTTTCTCATCAACCAGTTTTTGTGACATTATCAGCTGGCTAATTAGTGTGTATTATTTTAATATACATATCAAATATACATATATATATATATATCAATATATATTCTGGTACAATCCCTAATTGATATCTATTTCTGGCAGAATATAACCAACATGGGTGTGAAGATGTTGGGAAAGCCGTCATCCAATTGGTTTCTCATCTTTGTCGAAGGGTACGCTTCACCTCGGTCAAGAGTACAGCGAATTACCTAGTAAGCCAAATACTCACCATATACCCAGCCTTTTTTTAGTATTTAACCTTAAACAAAGTAGGTAATTATTTGGTTCCATATATATATATATATATATTGGTTATAGTTATATATATATAATATAATAGAATTAAATATAATATACCGTATATATATTCTGTGTGTGTTGCCACCGATCCAACGAGCAAACATGGGTGTCAAAGATTCGCCATATGAACGTTTGGCGTTGCTTCGTCGGTAAATCTTCTCAGAAGCTACTCCCTTTTTGGATGGTTTTTTCTTTGTAATTTCATGTACCTTTTGGTAATTTAACGTAGCTCTTGGAAATGATCAAATAGTTCGTTGCTTGACCGAACGTCAAAATGGTGATTTTCCATAGCTAGGTAAATTTACCAGAGGGTCCAGAGGGTAGTTTCTCATTTTTCTGGGGAACAAATCCAAAACTTTTTCATGGCTATATCCCCCATTGTTGATTGAAGAGCCGAATCCCCTAGTTCTAGCTCGTTTTTTCTGGCAAAATCAAGCTGTTCAACTCTGTTCAATGTTTATATCATGTTATATCAGGTAATTTTCTATGTTTGATTGTTCTGTAAATCAATGATTTCCCAGTGTTTGCTGCTTAAGTCAGTAAGTTGATCCAAATTGTTTCAAGTTTCAAATGATCAATGGTTAAATCAGGCACTTGGTCTCTTTTTTGATTGCAAAATCAAACCACATCATCTAAAGTCGAATTTCCTGTCCAATTTTTTGTGAATCTAGCACCTCTGGTGGTAGCCCTTCATTCTGGCTTCATTTTTTCGGCCGTGGTGTTCCCCTGTTCGCTTTCCGACACCGGTCGGCAGGGTGTGCAGAAGTCCAGCTCCGCAGGCTTCGCCATGATCGGAAGTACCAAGGTGTGGAGGGGATGGATCCTTCGACTTTCAGAAAGGGGGACTTCCTTCGTCAAATCGGTGCAGGATGGGTCTCTCCAGTGATGTTTGTTGGTTTAGAAGCCTATCCAAATGTAATCGTAATTAAGTATCATACATCATGTTTATTATATGGCTATGGATCAATACCTATTAAAACCATTTTTAGTGGGATGAACATCCATTTACCAGCTATTTTGGGGTTCACTAGGTACCAGGGTTTTGACCCATCCCCATATAGTTATAAACCAACTTAGCAAACTATGGGGCCCCATCCTGTGGCATCTAGAATTCTAGCTGGTTGATTGGTAAACCACCAGTCCCCGCAATTCGGAATCCAATGCCTTGGCATCCAGTGAATCTTGGTGGTACATAGAATTAGCGATGAATCATGTGGATTTCGCCGTTTGAAGGCGACAATTGATGCCTTCACTACGATTACTTGGGGAACTTCGCCCAATGGGCGGAGTAAATTTAGAGGAAACTCGAAGAATAGTTGCAAAAAATATCAAAAAATCGTAGAGTTCTGGTTGGTGGTTTCAAACATTTTTTTATTTTTCCATAATATATAGGATAATCCTTCCCAACTGACTTTCATGTTTTTGAAGATGGTTAAAACCACCAACCAGGTACAGTTGCATCTTGTTTTTTTTGGGGTCAACAACAATGTCGCATCATTTCCAAAGACTGAGGGATCATCGGACCCTCGGAGAAAAACAAATGGCTCGGAGACGGCATCATCTCATGGCATCATCTCCAGATTTTGGTGCAAAGAAATGATGGTGTCCAAGCCCAGATGAGCAGTCCCATAGGATCCATGGTGCTGGTATATATGCTAACATAAAAGGGGTATATTGATGGTAAATGTCACCATATATAGCATACATGGATCCTATGGGAGTGTTCAGAACCACAAAATCCACATTTTGTGGTTTTGTGGTTGTTGATTGCAGGGATACTATATCGAATGTCTTGGGGAATTGTGGACCATCCATGAACAGGGACAAAAATCTATTCACCATTAAAATTAAGAGTCCCATATCATTCATCATTCCACATCATTTGATACCCTCTGGTAAACTAACATAACTATGGAAAATCACCATTTTTAATGGGAAAATCAACTATAAATGGTAATTTTCAATAGCTATGTTAAATTACCGGAGGGTACCCCCCGGGTTTGGTGATAGCCAGCTCCGGATTCCACAGGCCTTGGACAAGCAGAGGAGGGAGCTGACGAATCAGGTGAAGACCTTGAAACAGGAGGTGCCAATGACCCGACGGGTCCAGGGGTCCGACGGGTCCGACGGCCAGGGGGAAGCCGACTGGGTTCACCCCTTTTTCCGAGGCCAGTGGGCCCAGTGGCCTACCAGGATGGTACCTCCAGGTTTCCAATTTTTCGTTTTTTTTTGGGTTGCTATATAGGTAAGTTTGTCAAAAATAAGCCATAAACATAACTAGGCCCTGACTAGGCAAAGTGTTGCATTTATGGTTGATATATCTGCGTATACTTAATAGTTGGATAGGGTTACGTTAACATGTTACAACATGTTACTGATACAAACCAAACGATAGGATTACCCAGAAAATACCAATGACTCATGGGTTAATTACCCGTGGGTTAAAAGTTTTGCGGATCATCACAGTGGTGTTAAAAATCAGTCATTGGACTTGCAGGTTTAGATAGGTTCCTCTTGGTTTTTAACTAAACCAACTAACATTTATGCAAAATATATAGATATATTCTAAACACAGTTGTAGAGATGGGTTATATAAGCTTGCAACTGAGGGTCTCTAAAACTGTGGTTTTGCATCGTTTAACACATCCTACAATTGTGATATATGGATGACATACACTGGCAAAATCGACCACGTCCTTTGGAAAGTCTGGAAAGTTTGGCCTGCAGAAAATATGGATTTCACCTCGAGAAGCATGTCGGTTAGCCGGTTCGCCAGGTTAGCTGTGCACTGGTTCGCTGTTTTTTCCCTCTCAGGGTTGTCAGCCTGTGGATGATTGCGAAATCCTGCACCAGTTGGGATGGTAGAAAGCCTATACCCTCTGGTAATTTAACATAGCTATGGAAAATCACCATTTTTAATGGGAAAATCCACTATAAATGGCCATTTTCAATAGCTAGGTTAGTTTACCAGAGGGATAAATCATGGGATGTTTACCACCTATGAACTGGTGCAGGATTTCGCTGCCCCATCCACCGATTTCTCACCGGTTGGTTGCTTGGCCGAGATTTTACCAGGTGCAGAAGAAAAAGAAGCGCCATGGCAACATCAACCTGCCTTTAACGGGGGGCCCCCAGAACCACGAAATCGCGAAGTTTGTGAACATAACTCAGACATACTCAGACATAACTCCAATTTAACATGAATTAAATGGTCTATGATACTTATATAACCTGGTTGATTGGTGTCAAATATTTTCTAAATTTTCCATCGTATATGGGATGTCATCCTTCCCATTGACTTTCATATTTTTCAGAGGGGTAGGTCAACCAGGTCAACCACCAACCAGTAACTGATGGTTAATCTAAAGGTCCTTGTAAGGAGTTTTAATTGCGAAAGCCGTGCATGTTATGTTGGAAACCCTCGCGAAAGTTTTTTTTCGAGTTCGCGAAAGTAAAATTTTATTTCGCGAAAGTTTCGCGAAAGTTGGGTATTATAATCATTATATGTAAAGGGCTGCCACCCACTGCCGCCCGGGGTCCGGCAGGAGAAGGGCACCAGAGAATGCGAGTAGCAGTAGCCAAGTTTCCAAAAGTGAGGCTTTGCGAGAGCCAAACACCAAGGCCCCTGGTCTTCGCTTTTCCTTCAGTGCACCTGCTGATGGCCGGGGTCTGTGAATAGGGATATTTTCGCGAAAGTTCCGCGAAAGTTATGCGAAAGAGCGGGCGAAAGTCAAAGTGCACGTTGAAGGGGGTGGGCCAGTAAACTTTGCAAAACAAAATCTGTCCTGAGAAGGGACTCCGTGATGCTAGCTGCATGTTTAAAAGGCTACCAAGAAGTGATCCGTGATTCTCTGGCGTAATTTGGCAGGTGGTGAACGAATCTTCATAAGAGGTGTTGTTGGCCAACATGGGCCCCGCGAAAGATAAACATGGAGTTCGCGAAAGTTTCGCGAAAGTAAATTTTTTTATTCGCGAAGAATGGCCGTTCCGGGATAAAGGAATTTTGATCAACAACCAACTATAGTTTTCATGGGGCGTTCCAAGTTCGAAGCCAACATTACCATGACCGCAGCGAGTTCTCCGCCTTGTCCCGGAGGAGGTGGTTCCGTCCAGTTTTGTGTCATAATTGCTACAGTACTTGTAATGGATAGATCTAAAACGAAGAAAATCGAAACGTTGGATAGATATGTTTTTTGAGTTATGGTGTTTTTCCATCATGTTTTTTGTTCGTTCTGTTTCAATGATATATATATATAGATAGATAGATAGATATAAATATAAGCCTAGGTTTTTTCCCAGTTAAAAACTTCCGAGACATCTATATAGCATATCTCCATTTTGGCGACTCGCCACGGGAGACGGCCTCAGGTTGCTGATGGCGATGGTGCCAAAGGATAACCTGCAAGACTTGATCCTTGGGCGAAACAAAAACAGCCAGGGCCGCAGGGCCAAGCCGGGGGATTTTTGCGAAGGTTGATGTTCATGGTGATGGTTGATGTACCATCTGTTTTTTTGTTACATAGCCATGGTATAGATGGTCCATAGAAATAGATGGTTTACCTAGCTATAAAATGGGTGGATCTTTCCATGGCTATGTTAAATAACCAGAGGGTGTATATATATATGTAACTATATATAATCTATGGCGAATAATCATGCATATAATATATTTATATATAAGATTATAATGGAATATTACCTCGATGCAATGGAATATTGATGGACTGTTAGTAGATGTACCCTCTGGTGTCATCACACATGCTACATAAATAGAGGGTTTAATGGGAAAATCAGTTATAAATCGCGGAATTTCAATTGGGGATTTGTATCATGATGATGTAGTATGATGTTTTGATGGTGAATACTATTCTTCCTGATGGTAACATGATGGATGATCATGTATAATGCAATGTATATACTGGTGTATATGAAATTGCATTGTTGATGGTAACTTGATTGATGGTTGATGGTTCTTGATGTATTGTATTGTGTTGATGGTTGATGGATGATGTTTTCCGTTGTATTCTTCCTAGTGTTTGCTGCTATATTTTTTAGGTTTTGTGTCTTGGTGTACGTCCCTGGTGCTAAGCACAGCTTGGGCAGAGAGCGTCAGCAATGATTTCTTTTCGCCAAAAAAAAAATATCACAAATGAAATGGAATACTCAATACATCTGGGTAAATTGTACCGACCTCACTGTCCTCCCTCACTGAAAATCATGGTTAGTAAGGGAAATCATCTCCAATTGGCCGAACTATTCAGACCGGTCGTGCTCTGCTTGCGGGGGTACGGCCGGCGCTTGGGAAGATGGGTGGCCGAACTATTCAGGTTAGTGAACTATTTTAATTTACCCAGATACATGGCTACTCTCATGGGTTTGACCATGAAAAATGGGACGTTAACATACGTTAACCAGGTAAACTGCAGCAACAAAAAACATGTTGGGATGAAAAAATGCACGATATCCAGGACAACTATGCTTGAATTTCTCAGAACAAAATCTTTGCTACATACGTCCATGAGCGTTGTTCATATCATACTATAAATTAGATACAATAATGTCATATTGGATGTCAATTTATCCTTGGCATACTATATATGGTTAAGATCATATTATGTGTGGTTTTTATATTGTGTCAACTTATATTTGACAATGGATTATGTTAATACATATTTAAATCGGTGTTGTCCATATGTTGATCATCAAAAGCAATGTCATACTGTAGATAAAATATTACTGTTGATTTTGTGTCAGCTTTGTATTTCGGAAGCATTTGCAGATGGATGTGCATCACCCTTTTTTGTGGTACAACATGGGTTTTAAGCCATTATCATATCTAGAATCTAGAATCAACTTAATTATCATAAGTCAAGTCAACTATGAATATAGTTCATCATCATGTTCCTTGGTGTTCAAGATTCTTCTGCCCCTTAATTCTTGTTGCTTCCCTTCGAGAGCCACGCGCGCGCGGCGCCGCGCCCAAGGATCAACGCGGGCGTCTTCCCAGGTGAACAAAAGACTCCCAAAGCCCAGGTGCTGGGGAGTGGTGTTCATCCCAATGTCATCTGCACCCATCATCCCCAAATAAATCACCATTTTTATAGGTGGTTTTTTAATGTTTTTTAAGCATTCCCAAATTATTTTCATAATTTTACATTTATAATTTGTGTCCATGGTTTACTCTTGTTTCTTTTTGCTGTATGTGTGTCGGCTTCTGGGGATTTATAGAATGTTACAAGTTGATGTATTATGGGGGATAGCAGATGAGAGCAAGGATTCTTCACTGCGTAACAACGGCGGTACAATAATTAGCCATTCAATGGGATACGACATATAAAAAGCAGAGGGCACAGATTAAGACTGGAACCCCGATTGACAACCCACCATGCTCAGTGGAAATACCCTTTGGATCCCTTTGGTAATTTGTTACATAGCTAATGAAATTTGCTATTTATAGTTGATTTACCTATGAACATTGTGATTTATAGCCGATTTACCTATGAAAAATGGCTATTTATAGTTGATTTCCCTGTTAGACATATTAATTTTCCCTGGCTATGTAAACGTTTACCAGCGGCATCCACAACACTAATGCTTTTTGATCCCTCCAGGTTTTTGATGGGTCACCGGGTCATCATCTAAAGATTCCGGCAGATCCCCATCGAGCCAAAATCCATCATACAGTACCCATAGGATCCATGTATGGCAATGTATGGTATATATTGATGGGATCCATGTTAGCATATATACCATACATGGATCCTATGGGGTAGATGAGATTCTTATCTTTGATGGTAAAGTCCCTACGGACATATTTCGTTCGTTTTGATATGTTTTGATGCTTGAGTCTTAAGTCCTGAAAATGTTCAGCCCATTTTCAGAGGGGAAAGGCACCCCTGGCAGGATAACTCTGTGGACAAACAGGTTTCATCTTTGCCCCTTGGAGATGAACGAGAATTTTGGAGGGATTTGTCCATACATGAGGATATAATGGGAGTACAAGGGGAATAATATGGATCATATGGAATATATAATTCCATCCCCCTACTAAAATCTACTAACCACCAATTAGATGGTAATTTGGGGGGTCCCAACTAGCCACATATTCGTTACCAGAGGGTAGGCATGTTGAAGTTGTTGAAGTTCTGCTAGAAATGATCGGTACAAGTCAGTCAGGGATGTTTGATGTGCTGGATTAGTATTTATAATCAGATATACCCTCTGGTAATTTAACATAGCTATTGAAAATGGCCATTTATAGTGAGTTTTCCCATCAACGATGGTGATTTTCCATAGCTATGTTAGTTTACCAGAGGGTAACCAGTAACCAGCTGCAGGCCGCTACTCATCCTGACAGCTAATCAAAGGGTCCGTAACTAATCAAAATGGGGTAAACCCTATAAACGGGGAAGTTTTTTGACCACGCATTCATGGTGGTATTCGGGATGGCTCTCTACAAGGTGCCGCCATGGTGCCCCCCCCAGTTATAAGTTTGTTTATAACCCCCATGAAGTACAGATACATCTACTATAAACCTATGAATCTCTAGACGCTTCTACTCGGAGAAGATACCGCTAACTTGATGCTCAATAACCTGCAGGATTTTCTGGTGGCTCGATTTTGGTGCGTTCCAAGCACACACAAACCATCCAAGTCTGGTATAATATTAATGTACCATCAGCATCAATACACGAAGACAAGGTAGGGTTTGAATTGAAGCCCAAATGGAAAAATATGCATTCGGCGCAAAGGTAGAACATATACCATACAATACCATACATATGGTCTGTGATGTGGCAGTGGTTCAGCACAATTCTTTCTTCGTATATTTGACATGTTAAAACCACCAACCAGATATAGTTTTGTGTGATAAGTCTTCGTTTTTTGAGAGAGTCATTTGGGGATTGATATGTGACAGCACCAAGCCCCAACGGTCTGCCCAGGAAGAATAAACTGGAGACACTGAAGAAGTCGGTGGCTTTCTGGCAGACGCGCCCCTTGCTGAGGATGTAGCTGCATCAACCAGAGTTAGAGTTGATATATATGGTTGGGAAAATCCAAGAACTTCAGCGTATGTGTGTGTAGTGTATGGTATGGAATGGAATGGTATGCTATAGTATGGTATGGAATGGTATGTACAGTTATGGTACAGTATGGTATGGTATGTAATGGTATGGAATGGTATGGAATAGTATGGTATGTAATGTCGTGTAATGTAATGTAATGTAATGTAATGTATGTATGTAGGTACGTACGTACGTACATACATGTATATACAGTATATATAATTATATATACACACGTGATACATAATGCATGTATGTATGTATGTATGTATATATATATATTACTATATTTATGTATACATATATGCGCAAATCCTCAAAATGCATATCGTCTTAGGTCCGGGAATGAGAAGAATCATAGTTTTGTTCCCAGATCCACAGCCAAGCCAGAGGCTTGGAGAACCATGTGCAGAAGTTCAATGCCATGATCGAAGGGCCGTCACTGCCACTCGCTTTCGTTTTTTGTTCCGTTTTTTTTTTTCCAACTTACTGATACTATACAATTTAAGATCCCAAAATGGAAGAGCTGATTGTTGGACAACATCGTATCAATTCGAAACCAATTTAGCGCGTTAAAAGTTTAAAAGTACCATTGTTAGTTTGTTGTGAAATAATGGGTTGCACTATCTGGGGATGGGTCAAAACCCTGGTACCTAGTGAACCCCAAAATAGCTGGTAAATGGATGTTCATCCCACTAAAAATGTATCTATAGGTATTGACCCATACCCATCTAATTTATTGTGATTTATGCTAACCCATATTAGGTATACCTATTCACCAACCAGTATCATGCGATGTGATAGGGTATTGTTCATGGCTCAATTGGACATCCATTGTCACAGCCATGTGAAGGTGGAAACACATGTGGGGATGGGTCAAACCCTATACCATATTTGGGGGAACAAACATCCATTAGCCAGCTCTGACTTTGGGTACTGTTTGGGTACCAGGGTTTTGACCTATATCCATGTAGGGTCCCATAGATGTTTGGGCTTATGATGGTCAATTTAGAGAGATCCGAAGGGCTTGTAGCTTAGATCTCATTCAGGATTGTCGTGAATTGAAGTCACAGCAGAGGGTATCTAGGAATGCATGTGTATAGTATATATATATATAATATAGTTCCATTATTTTCATGTATATTCCATATAATATTACATTATGTGTGTAGTGGGAATTAATCAAACAGAACCTCCTTGTTTCCTGGGGATACATTTACGCCCACCGGAGTATCGAACCGTCGCAATGTAAGCGATGGATTTTGGTCAGCCGCGGTCCTCCGGTCCTCGAATCAGTTTGATCCTACCCCGTACATCCCCAAAACGCATAGACCTCTATATACTCTGGGCCAACCTTTGTTAGATACTACAGGATGGGGCCCCCCAGTGATGTTTGTTGGTTTATAAAGCCTATGAATATCAGTTCGTTATCTAGTTCGTTATAGAATTCAGCCACTTATAAACCAACTTAGCTATCTTGGGGGCCCCATCCTGTAAGTATTACTTTATAATCTGTTGCTATGAAAATGTACCATCTGAAAATTAGATAAAATTAGATAGCTTCACATAGATTCACCATGTTCAACTGTTGTTGGTTTGAATTACTGTCCATGCTTTTTGTTCAACCAGGGCACGGGAATGCACAGGATGATGCCCTCAATGATGACCTCAATCAATGGTGGGGTTTTCCCCATCTTTCTGGGACAGTTTTTTCGAGGGTATCTAAGGGCCTCACCGGTAGTATTGTAGTATAGCAACCACCATTGGAAAAAGCAAGTCATAACTATTCTAGTGGCTATAGTATCCTATTTTTTCCCCATCCTTTCCGTTTTGGATTTTTTGGATGTTACTTTTCCATTCTCTTGGGGGGTTGCTAAGCTATACATTCCCATTGCCATGGCTGATTATCATCTTGGGTCTCAGGCCACAGACCACACCCGGAGCAGCTTGGCAGTTGAGACTTCTGTGTTTATATATGGATGATGAAACGAATATCTGGCTTGTTGCTGGGAATGTTGATATAATGGTTGGTCATGAATTATTCCTTGCATTTGAGTTAGCAATTGATAGATGGTCCCCGTATTGTTGGCTTATTGGAGATGATCACCTATAGGCAGATAAAGAACTACTAACCAGCCAATCTTGAAGCAGTCCAATCCCGGATCCTTCAGAAATGGTACCAGGATTCCCCTCATGATGTCCATAGCATGAGGATTTCATCTTTGACCTTGGAAGGTCATTCCATGGAATGAATGAAGGCAACATCTGGATGCTGAAAAAATTGGGGCAGGATTGGGGTGATGAAATCTTAATCACCCAATCTAAAGCCCGAGTTTCGTTCATGTTTCAGCTAATTAGCTCAAGTTTTCTCCGCAATCCCGAATGTGTTGATGATTTGATGGTCAAATCCCAATTGTTGATTCCTAGAAACACTAAAATTTTCAAGTCTGATGACCTCCCTATCGTTGATCCTTAAATTCCCCCATGGGAAATCCCCTATGGGAAATCCACCATTTGTTGATGGCGCAGTTCCTCACTTTGACCGTTGGAAGGTGCAGGAAGAAATTGCGGAGACTTCCTCGAGGGCGAGCCAGGACAAGTCGCGTTGTCGAAGAGTTGTGACCCCAAAAATGGAGTGATTTCACTGGTTTGAATTATATGATGATCTATGATGATCTATGGTGATTTTACCCTCTGGTAATTTAACATAGCTATTGAAAATGGCCATTTATAGTGAGTTTTCCCATTAAACATGGTGATTTTCCATAGCTATGTTAGTTTACCAGAGGGTATAGGATTCTATGATGATTTATTGGATTTTTTTGATGGTGGTTTAACGTTTTTTTTTTAATATAATGGGATTTAATGATGATTTCATGGTGATTTCGTTGGTAATTTAATGTTGATGTCTGACCCAAAAAAGGACTGATTCAACCGGCGGAAAAAGGGAACAATCATATTATGCTAGTGATTTATTGGGATATGCATGTGGGTATAATAGTAATCTATTGGGGATACCATTGCTGATTGCTTGAAAACACGGTGATTTTTGAGCGGTTTATGCCCTGATTGCGCCTGTAAGGATGATTTCACAATGGGATGGCATGGAATACCAACGGATTCAACGAATTCAACGAAGATTGTGGCCTGGGTGTGTCTGAACATGGTGTATACCCTCTGGTAATTTAACATAGCTATTGAAAATCACCATTTTATAGTGGATTTTCCCATTGAAAATGGTGGATCTTTCCATAGTTATGTGAGTTTACCAGGCCGGGTACCCCCCAAGTGAAAAGGCAAGTTTCATGGGGACACATTTCTTTTGGATCTCCCGGAGATGCCATATTTGAGCAAAACGCCCATCTGATGGGATCCCCATCAACGGACCAGTGACCAGTCTGACAGGATGGTGGTTCCCTTCAACCACTCCAAGCTTCACAAAAAAAAAACATGGGACTTCGTGCAGTAGCTGATGTTTAGTTGATACTTCTATCATCTTCTATCGCGTTATTTGCATCCAACGCCAGCAGAAATGAGAGTTGAAGCACCCTTCTCGTGAAGACATTTGAAGTAGTTATCCTAAAGTGTTTAAGACTCATTCATAGACATATGGGGGTTTCCATAAATGGGGGTATCCAAAAATGGTTGGTTGATAATGGACAATCACATTAATTTGGATGATTTGGGGGTACCCCTATTTCAGGAAACCACCATATGATGGTCAAAACCCGCTTGGTCAAATGAGAGAAGTGCAGGAATTTCACCTTTTTGGAGTGATGGCCTCGTTTTTAACGCATGCGGAACATTGGCAATTCTTGGTTTGGTTGATGATTTTTGATCCATCAGTCGTGGAGTGGTATAGCACACTACAAAAGGATCTACGTAATGGACCGTAATACGGGTTAATGACAATTATATATATATGATCATATGAACATATGATCATATGAACATTATATTACTATCATTTTTGACCATTCTTAGTCAATAATTCTCAGTATTATGAATCATAATTGCTACATTCACCATTATTTACCATTATGGACCATTGTGAACCATTATAAACCATCATGAACCATTATCATCCACTATCAATCACTATTTACCACCATTATCAACCACTATCAATCACTTTTTACCACCATTAATATCCATTAATCACTATTTATCACCATTAATCACTATTAACCAGTGTTATCTCAGCCTGTCAGAGACCCAGCTTGCCGTCAGGACGTGGCAAGCTCGCCTTCGGCGACGAGCTCGAGATGGAAGGCCTGATTTGGTACGTTGATGTGTTGTGAACCATGACACATTTACTCCAAGGTGAAAGTAGATAGCTTAAATTCTTGACTTGGGCCGTCTAGATGGTTTTGAGTTGTGCCTACCTACTTTCACCTCAGCGTTGTTCTGGTAAGTTCACATAGACCCTGAAAATCGCCACTTTTGAGTGGACCCTTATATGGGTCTATGTAAATTTACTGGAACCATATTCAATCTCTGGCATCTATGTAAATTTACTGGAGGGTAACCATAAGCATCATTTTTTTTTCGTATCCCTTAGATGAGTTCATGTGATTAATGACTAGATATCAATCATGGAGGATATAAAACCTTGTTGGTGGTTTGGAACATTGTTTTTTTCCATATAGACTTTCATATTTTTCAGAGGGGTAGGTCAAGCACCAACCGGAAAACCACATGATGATTGAAGTATCCCTACTGGCCATATAGAATCATGGGGGGGTGTGGTCTACTGGGATTCATGGCGATACATCCATGGCTACCAGCAGGCTGCTGGAAGCATCAAAACCATGGGGATCAAAGCTATTGATTCAATGGCCCAGTCGAAATAGTGGATTTACGCCATTTACGCTAGAAAATTGTGGATCTTTCCATAGTTTTTTGGGACTGTTTACCAGAGGGTATATCCTATTAAATCCCATTAAATCCCATTAAACCACCATTTTCCTATGGTTTTCCCAGGCCGGGTATTTGTTCGAAGTCCTGGGAGCCTTTTCGAAATCGACAATTAAGGACCATGTTTATTTATATTAATTTATATATATAACCTACTAAGTCCATATATATAATAAATGGATATCCATATATGGATTTATGATATATATCCATTTATATAATTTATATATATATCCATATAATTTGGCAATTTGTATATCTGGGTAAATTATATATTAATCATATATATATATACATTATATTAATTTATATATATATAACCTACTAAGTGGGATGAGCCGGATGTGCCACCAAGTACCCATAAACCATAGATACTATCAGAAATCCCTTTGAATCATAATACCTGATTCAAAGATACTATAAATCCAATTTGATACTCCCATTATAATCCCATAATCCCAACTATATATATATGGGTAAATTATAACGACCTCTCTGTCCTCCCTCACTGGAATCATGGTTAATAAGGGAAAT